CTTTTCTTTTCTTTTCTTTTTAAGATTGCATCTTCCTCTTTCTTCCAGGCTAGAAGTTCAGGGGCTAATTATAGCCCTGGTCTCCCTCTAATTATCACTAGAGTTTTGACCTGCTCCATCCCAACCTGGGGCAGTTTGGCCTTCCTACAAAGCCTGATGGACCCCCACTCCCAGAGGTTTGCCATATTGTTGCCAGACTTAGTGAAGACCATCTAATCACCTTAGCCCACTGCAGCTCAGAAATCTCAAGCTCAAGAAGTCCATAGCTTTAGCCTCCCCAATAGCTGCAATTACCATCATGGACCACCATGTCTGACCTATGTTATCAGTGCTTACAGGGAAATATTTTTCCATTGTGTTACTGTAACACATCTTGTTTAGTTATTCTCTTAATCATTGGGCATCTGCTTTGTTTCTGGCTTATTTACAACCACAGAAAATTAGCAGAGATTATTGGCTATCATTAGAAATCCCTGGTTCCTGAGATGATTTTAATTGTTTCCCTGGTGGCCAATGCACAATAGTTCACATTTACATAATACTTTTCTCCAGCCACTCTCTGAGGTGTGTAGTCTAAGTATCACTGTCTTCATTTTATAGATAAGGAAGCTGAACTCCTCAGCAATTAAGTTTCAGGGCAAATACTCAAACCTAAGTCTTCTATTGCAAAGTCTGGTGTGCTTTCGGCCCCTCCATGATGACTTTCTGTAAAACCATAGACCATATTTATGTTGCCTGGAATTTGCTATTCTTTCAAGTGATTTCTACAATTTGTTACTGCTCCTAGAAATTTACCTCTTCAATAATGGAACATTTTCATAGCAAAATGGAGATGTAGCTCCATTTAAAAAGGTAACATAGATATGACCTAAATAGTTAAGAAAGGTCCTGAGAGGGTTTTGGGACTGTAGTTCTTATTGACTTCTGGGAAATTCCAAGTTTTCTCTTTCTTGAGAAATGAAGAAGTCTGTTAAGGACAATATAGGTGACAATATAATTCAGACAAATTCCAAAAGTTTTGCTTAGTGAGCTTCCCTTAAATAGCAGGATTATGTCTAATCCCATCAGTTGTGTTTTGGTGTATCTCTAGCCACACATGCCCATCAGCTGATTTCACAGATCATATCACTATTGACAGGTGATGACAGATTTCGAGTTTATAAATGTTTCCTTTGCCCAGAAAGAGAGGCAAGTGAATAGGCCTTTGAGACCTCAGCCATCTCCCTGGCTCGTTCTCTTTCTTCACACTAAAATGCCAAATGATTGGGCTTCATGAAGAATGGATGTTCATGGTGCTATTCTAGTGTTGCCTAGCAACCATCTTGATCGGTGTTGGGTGATGAGAGTGGCCAGAAATTCATGAAGCCAGAGGGTCACTGTTAGCTCCCAACAATGAAAGGAGAATTGCCGCTGAAATTAGGTTATGAATTTGAAAAAGAACATGGAAGTCGTCCTAAGCTGTCCTGTCAGTAAGAAGATCTGAGAGCACTGGAGACTTCTGCTCAAAATTTTCACAAAAGCAGCTATTTCATTATGCGTATAATTCATTCTAGTCCTTTTCCTGTAAAGTTATACTGAAACTCTATTTACCCTGGGAATTTCCCTGATTTTGTACTTTCTGAGGTGAGAAGGCTCTCATAAAATCTCTAGGTTTTTTCACATTCCAGTATTCTCCATAGAGAATTGTAATATCCCAGCGAACAATGGATTCAGAATCTACTGTTATGCTTGGGAGATGGAGGGAACCAGGCTACAGAGGTTAGTATGGCGCTGAGACCATTCCATTTGGCTCAAACCATTCACAGGACTTTTAAATTCACACTGCTGAATCTGTCTCAAGGTTGGAAGTTCAGGGACAGGATAAGGACAAATAGCCCAGGGGACCTTTGGTCCTAGGATTGATAGGGTCAATCAGAGGTCTTCCTGATTCCAGGCTCTCCAACACACCACATCATTTATCACACAGATGTGCTAACTTATTCTTTCGACAATTTCTTTCTTTGGTATTTTGATAATGGTGAGGCATTGTTAGTCTCATTGACTCCACTTATGTAACAGTATGAAATGTGGTATTTCCTGCATATGCCAACCTTATTTTAGGGGGAAACTGAAGGTTGTACTAAGCAACTTTTTTTTAAACAGCAACTTTAAGCAAAATGACAATTACCAGACTATTTACAGATGTTGCCATGGAACCTAAGTTGTAATGCCACCAGTATCCACATGACAGTATACTGAATTTGTCGGCTTTTTCTTTATATCTTAACAATACAGATGGAAAGAATCAAGATGATACCTAAGTTTGAATAGTCTGCCAAGGATCAATTTTTTTTTCTTCAGACAACACCTATGTAGCTAATATCCTATTTAAGTCATCGAATGACAGACTTTTAGGGCAGAGAGGAATCTAAAGTCTATCAATCATTTCACTTTACAAATTAGGAAACTGAGACCCAAAAAGGGAAGGTGAGATCCATGGTCACACAGTAAGTCAATGACTGAGCTGAAATCAAAAACCCAGGTCTCCTACCTTCTCCAAAACCACATGGCCACTTTCTCTGGTCAATATCTCATTTCGGAGGGCAGAAGATTCTTTAAAGCTCATCATTCTTAATATGAAGTTAGGTGTTTTCTTGTTGATTTTGAACTTTCCTATTCAAAATTCTGGAGTCCCTTTATCCTGGTATTTTAGAATTCAGTGGATAATTTTTCATTTATGCCATCCACTTGATCATGAACTTATATGTGGCATCCCTATATATTCCCCCATCTTATCAGGCACCCCCAACCAAACTCACTGATCAACAGTATCTAGTTGAACATGTGAATAATACACGCATATCTTTTCTTTTTCTTAGGGCGATCCTGGAGAGCGAGGAGAAAAGGTAAGATTGCATTTATCTCTTTTTTTTCTCCCAGAATGAAGCTTATATAGTACCTACTATGTGACAGACACTATGCTAAACACTTTACAAATATTATCTCATTTGATCCTCACAACAACCCTGGGAGGTAAATGCTATTATTATCACTATTTTTCAGTTGAGTGTATTGTTGTTCAGTCATTTCAGTCATGCCCAACTCTTCATGATCCCATTTGAGGTTTTCTTGAAAAAGATCCTGGAGTAATTCTTTCTCCAGTTCATTTTACAGATGAGGAAGCTGCGGCAAACAAGGTTAAATGACTTACCCAAGGTCACACAGGTAGGATGTGTCTGGGGCCAGATTTAAACTCAGGTCTTCCTGACTGTGGGTCCAGCACTTTATCCACTGTGCTACCTAGCTGCCCAAAGAGCGACTAAGAAAAGGCTACTCTGACTAAAAATGTTTAGTATTCTATGCCAACCGTTTAAAACTTTTCAAACTGATTAGGCCTGCAAAAATTTCATTCACTAGTAATAGAAATTTAGTGCTGAAGTAAATAGATTATCCAACAGAAATATGGATTTCCAAAATGAAACCTGAAATTTTGCAAATGGAAGACAAGAGTACATGTCAGAGTAAGTATTCATGGCTAGCATTAAGTATATGAAGGAAAGGGATGGAATTGATATATCTAGAAACTGTTCAGAGCAGGGGGTTCTTATCTGGGGAGTCCACGAATTTATTTTTTCAATATTTTGATGACTCTATTTTAATATGATTGGTTTCCTAGTCCTATCCAAATTGAAAGCTTACAAAAGTAATTCTGAGAAAGATTCATAGGCTCACTAGGCTGCCTCTGTGTGTGTGTGTGTGTGTGTGTGTGTGTGTGTGTGTGTAGGGGAGCTCATGACACATACTCAAAAGTTTAAGAACCCCTGGACTCAGTTTTCTTTATAGAAAAGCACTTCAAGAAATCTCTTTTTTAAGTCTACACTGAGAGTCTTGAAGGCCATGTCTATAGAGCTCAAGTTCTGTTTAGAGCTAATGAGCTGATATGGCAACAAGCTGTGGCATGTTGGAGGTCTTGAGAGACTGGGGTACTATTACTAGGCTGCCTATCACAGATTAGTCAGCATTTCATTAAAGATGAATATGTATTACTTACTTTTACCACCAAACTAATAAAAAAGAAGGGGGCAGCTAGGTGGTGCAGTGGATAGAGTAGCTGTGTGACCCTGGGCAAGTCACCTAACCCTGTTTGCCTCAGTTTCCTCATCTGTAAAATGAGCTGAGAAGGAAATGGCAAACTACTCCAGCATTTTTGCCAATAAAACATCAAGTGGGGTCACAAAGAGTCAGACACAACTGAAACGACTCAACAACAAAATAAAAAAGAAATCACCATCAATCACAATTATTGAGCATCTATCATATCTATACCAAGTGTTCAAGATACATACAAAGAAATATAAGACATACTTGGGTCCTTAACATCAAAGGATTTATAAATCTGTTGGGGGAGAGATCTTATATACTTTTTTTAATAGCAAAACCAAGTCTCATATGCTAATGATACAAGTAATAAATGCTATAGGAGTTCAGGGGACTGATTGCCTAGGGCTGAAAATAGACTACAGGAGACATGTGCCTTCAGATCACTGATTTATATTTAGCCAATTGGATTGCAGAAACTGGAACTTGAGGGTAGATGTTAGACCAAAAGAAAGAGGGGAGAGCGTGCTAGCTAGGAGAAATAGTAAAACAGGCAGAGACAAAAATGTGGGCAAGAAATGGTTTTGATGGAGCAGGGAGTTGAGTTTGGGAAGCAGTAGGAGATAAGACTGGGCTGTACATAGAAGTCAGAATGGAGAAGACTTCAAATACCAGGGTAAGGAGCTAAAATTTGGCTACATTAGGAAAGGTTCCCGACAGCTCTTAAGTTAACCTATCAAGTAGTAGAGGGTGTGTGAGCTGCATTTGTGATAGGAGTAGTCATACTTGGAAAATCCCATATCCTTGAGTTATAGAAGTACAGATGTTAGGAAGAGGATAATGAAATTTGTCACCTCTTAAAAAAAAAAGGAAAATCAAGTAATTATTAAATGTCTACTATGTACTAGGTACAGCTTGGTAGTTTAGTGGATATTGAGTGCTGGGTCTGGAATCAGGAAGACTCATCTTGCAGAGTTGAAATTTAGCCTCAGACACTTAATAGCTGAGTAACTCTGGGTAAGTCACTTAACCCTGTTTGCCTCAGTTTCCTCATCTATAAAATAAGCTGGAAAAAGAAAAGGTAAACCATTCCAATATCTTTGCCAAGAAAACCCCAAATAGGGTCACAAATAGGGACACAACTGAAATGACTGAACAACAACAAAAATGTGCCAGGCACTATGCTAAGTAGTAGGCATACAAAGAAAGACAAAAGTCTGCCATTAAGGAGTTCACAATCATATGGGGGACTCAATATGCAAACAATTATGAACATACAAGATACATGCAGAATAAACTAAAGATAATTTGAGAGGGAAGGCATGAAGATTCACATTAATTTTCTTCTGTCTCTATTAAAAGAAAAAATATTTTAATGATAAAAGTCCAGGATAATAACTAGCTTTATCTGGACCATTAGATTACATCAAAAACCATAGATTAAGAAACATAGGGACAGCCAGGTGTCACAGTAGATAGAGCTCTGGCCTTGGAGTCAGGAGGACCTGAGTTCAAATCCGACCTCAGACATTTGACACTTACTAGCTGTGTGACCCTGGGCAGGTCACTTAACTCTGATTGCCTCACCAACAGAAAAAAAAAGAAAGAAACACAAATCCTTTGGACCTCATTGATACATCCTTTTTAATCATATGTACCATTGCTTCCCATTGATGATGGGTTTCAACCTTTTGCTTATATTGGAATTTTGAAATTTATGTAATTTCTATTCATGCTAATAATCTCTAAGCCTGGAGTCATCCAGCCAAATCTGGAAAGGAATCTGAGAACCTCTACCTCCAAGATATCCCTGCACTCACACATGTAATCCACAACAGCCATATAACACAGCAGGTGAAAAAGAGAAAGATTATTGTAGGGGAAAAAACCATAGGTAAATGGATCCTTGGAAAGAAAAGCATGCTTCAGGGGGGATATTTAAGTACCTAGATCACGGCTGGAATAGATGAATATAACTGGGATCTTTGAATTGTTGTACGAGCATCTCTGTCCTGCTAATAATAATCACAGTCCTCTTCAGACCTAACCTGAGTCAGCTATATGTTCATAGGGCAGTTTGGGAGGTATTTCATTGTGTGTGGGAGATTAAAACTCACAGTAGGGATTAAGGAATTGTTCAACTGATTGTCAGTTGTCAGATGACTTTATGAGTCAAAGAGCTGGGTCTCAGACTACAATCTTATTTATAATGCATCAGACCATGTAATTTTCAAGCATATTTTTCCTACTTCTTTAAAATTAAATTGATGAAAATTTCTTTGAAGGTACAATATTAATGACATTTTGTGATCATTTCCTTTGTCCTTATGGTTTCATTCAGCCAAATTAATTAAAATTCCTTTTCTTTGTGGCTTTGCAAAGAATTTATAAGAGACCATAATTTTGTATACTATATACAGGGGAGGGGGATAGGAAAAAAAAAGCTTAATATAACATTACTCTGTGAGACATTAAGGGTTTTATCTCATCCCCTCTCTTTTTCCCCTTAGGGAGATGCTGGAGACAGTGGACCCAAAGGTGACATGGGTGAAAAGGTACATTTTTTTGTGTTTGAAATATGAAAGTATATGTGTATAGTCAAAAATATAATCTAATGGATATGATGTGTTATATGAGTATGTGTGATTTAGGTAGAGTTCGTGGGATTATAAAAATGAAGAGAGAAGACAATTAACTAGATTTATCATAACTCTTTAGAATGATACATTGCAATGTTCAGCATTTAATGTAGTGTGTTGTGTACAAACATAGGAAAAGGTAGATTTTTCTTATGGAGAATGGATGACTAATTGGTTGGATTGTTGTAGAAGAAATGCCCCCTTCCATTTGCAAGTGAGATAATTCAATTTCAACATGGAGATATTTAGAAATCTCTATTATAGCCTGATTTATTTTGTTTAGTCAATTTAAAAAGGTAAAATTTCAAAGCAAAATGAAGAGATTGAGCACTTTCATTGTACAAACTGAGATAATATCACTTCACTAAATCCTCTCACATTTGGTTGGGAATTTGTATCAGTATGAACCTTAAATCCACAATGTTTGAGAAACTGGAAAAAAAAAAAACTGTCAGTTGTCTTTAATTGTCTTTTAATTGGATTCTCACTTTCCAAAGATTTCTGATAAGAACAATTTGAGCATTCTACATAGAAGGAATTAGGAGATAGAGTCCTCAAGAGGGCCTGGACGAGTTAAGATACTGAGTTAGAATATATAACTATTTAACTCTAGGCAATCAGCTTATGTTAAGGCAGTTGGATTGTTGTGATTTGTTCTTCGTTCTGGAAGAGGACCATGTTATCAGGAAGATGTGTCATGACTTGTGAGTGAATTGGATTTAAGTAAGGAAAGGCTGTGCAGTTACCAGCCTCACTTTCTCCTCCGGAGCCATCTAGGTTCAGTGGCAAGATATAGATCAGGATGACTGGAGATGGCCCCCAGGCAGTTGGATTTTTGGTTAACGAGCAGCAGGGTGGCACAGTAGTTAGAGCACCAGGCCTGGAATCAGGAAGATCTGTGGCCTCAGACATTCATTAGCTGTGTGACCCTGAGCAAGTCACTTAACCTTGTTTGCCTCAATTTCCTCATCTGTAAAATGAGTTGGAGAAGGAAATGGCAAACCACTCTAGTATCTTTGCCAAGAAAATCCCAAATAGGATCATAAGAGTTACACACGACTGAAATGATTGAAAACAACAAAAAATTTTGGTTAAAGCAAGCTACCTAATGGTAACTGAACAACATAGAAAAAATCAGTGGCCTTCACATCTGAACAGACTAAAAGATGGCAGGATGTCAAAGTTGTAATTTAGGAACTGTTGGTCAGATGGGTAATGGATGGATCATTGTATAACTTCTACAAAATAAAGGATTTATGTTATGATTCTTATAAATATTCATAGATAAATGGTATGTGTGGTTGAGTGAGTTCTTAGTTGTATTTGTGAATCTCAGGGCAGTCATAATCTAGAAATACGCTGCACATAGAACCATTTTAATTGCCAGGCAGATGCATATGCCATGGCATTTAATCGGGATTGACATTAAAATGTTTCCTATTAAAAAGGTTAATGACATTATCTCGAGGTCTCTAGAAACCAGCTACATGAACATGGATACTGTATTTCCTTTTAGTTTATATTTGGAAGAAAGAAATAAGTTAAGGTTAAACTTGTGAGGTAGGCAGTCTTATTGTTCCAGTTTTGTAGATGGGGAGATCAAGGCATGAGAAAGCCAAGTGACTTGTCCAAGGTCACAGAGCTTATAAGTAGTAGAGATGGTCTTTGAATTAAAATCTCTCCAGTTCCAAGTTAAGAAAGCAACTTTTGATGGATTACTCATGTGGCTATGTATAAATACATACAGATTTATTAAAAGTACAAAGTTTTAAAGTGGATTTATGCAAAATATTCAGCATGATATTTAATAATTTTTAAAAATTAAATTAAACTTAGCCAGGAGGACCAGAAACAATTTGGATATGTTTAAAAGTATAATTTTTAGGCCACATGTCCATGATGAATTTTAAAATCAATCATATTTAATTTTCAAACTTAACAAAACAACATATTTGGCTTTCTTCAGTATTTTCCCAGAATACTCTATTTGTAAAAGTTTCCTAATTTTTTACTTTTTAATCAAAAGAAAAGTTTCATTATTTCACATGGAAATTGAAAGGAACTAATTTGGATAGTGTTTTTATTAATTTTTTTATTAGACACCTGAAATTAAGCTCAGGGAATGCATCAGTTAAAAAGGAAATGATTTTAATAAACTCTGAGTAAGTCTAAACTGTGGGTTATAAATAGAAATCTGTATTGTATAATATGCAACCTGAAGTGCAGAGTAACCTCCCCATGAATGGTATAATTTGAATGTAATTTTTAACATATTTTACAAAATGCTACTTCTGTCATAGAACTTATTTCCAGTCCTTTCATGGCAATTCATTTATCATTTGCCAAAGCTTGGGGAGTAAAATCAGAAAAAAAAAATATTTCTTGTTTTTCATCAATGTAGCAAGTTACATCATTGACTGGTCATTTTAATAGGGATTTTTTTTCCTCCCCTTTTGATCCAAGTCTGGTTCTGTGGATGGTAAAACAATCTAAGGTTTCCCAGGCTGATCATCCGGATATCCTGGAAAACCAAAAAAGCACTAGCTGATTGTTCTCTCCAGCCAGCAGTTAGTGGTATACCTTAGGTTGAAGAATGTCTTAGTAGAGATTCGTTTTACCCCAGTGAAAGGGTTTTTAAACTGAGGCAGATAGGGTTTTTTTGGAGGGTGTGTTGGTATGGAAGTGGAAAGACAGCCATGAATGAAAAAATTTTTGATAGTTGCATTTCAATGTAATTAGTTTCCTTTATAATCCTAAATATTTTGTTTTATGCACATAAAAACATGATTCTGAGAAGGGGTCTAGCATGGCTACAGCAAACTCTAGCACAAAATAGGTGAATAATCCCAGTACAGAATTGCTATTGAAAGGTTACGGAACTCTTTGATTTTGTACCTGTTAGTCTAATATTTAAAAATGCCAAATCAGATTCCTTCTTTTGTTTTCCTGTTGTTTGAGAACAGATAGTTTGTCCAACACATTGAATAGTTTTGAAATCACTATCCTTCCTTTCTCTTTGGCCTTATCACTCTGATGTTCATCATTTCTGAAAGTTTCCTTGGTCCTCTGGATCAAAAGATTTCCATTCACTTGCTGTGTTCTGTCTGCCTTCACTTGCAGGTCTGTGTCTGACTTTGACTCTCTCATTGAACCTTAGTCCAAAAGCTTCCTCCCAGCCAACACTCAGGGCTCTCTTTGCTCCCTCTGAATCTAAGTGCTGCTCAAGCATGAAAGAAGTGCAGTAAGGCAGGAAGAACACAAGCCATGAATCATAATCTGACTCCATCACTGACTATCTCTATAACTGCGTAAAGCCCTAATGCACATCGTGACTGGTCATGTTACAATGAGAAAGATTGTCAGCACACTCAGCATCTTTCGTACTACAGATGTGAGAAAGTTGGATGGCACAGGGAGTAGAGCACTGTTCCTGGAGTTGGGAAGACCTGAGTTCAAATCCAGCCTCAGACACTTTCTAGCAGTGTGATCCTGAGCAGTCTCTTAAACAATTCTCAGTTTCCTCAACTGTAAAATGGGGATAATAACCTACCTTCCAGGGTTGTTTGTGAGGATCAGATGAGATATTTGTAAAGCACTTAGCACAGCACCTAGTACACAGTAGGTTCTTAATAGATGCTTATTTCCTTTCTTCCGGTATGTATGCAGAAAGACATGATTTGACCCAGAGTGAAAGTAGATCTATGGTAAGGAGAAATATTTTACATGGGGTTTTACTACATAATAATAAGAAAGGATAAAGAGCAGGAGTGGAAAGAACACCAACTTTGGAGATAGAAGGCCTAGGTTCAAATCTTGCCTTTCTCATTTATTACTGGTGTGACTTTGGACAAATCATTTAGACTCTCTGGACTTTATTTTTCTTGTCTATAAAATGAGGAGGTCAGACTCGATGGGTCCTTGAAGTCTATGATGGTATAAATTATGAGAATATGCTACAGGAAAATGTAAATCAGCATAGGTTAGAGAATCTATTAAGTGAATATGACTTCCTGCAGAAGCTTAGTGTGCTTCTTAAAAAAGTTTGAAATCTGATATTTGTCATAATACTTTTGAGTTCCCAAAGTTCTTTCATAAAGTGTGAAACTGTTTCTTAACTCCTGGCCATTGTGTATCTAATCTTTCTATTACATAAGGCCCAAGTATAGAAGTATAAGCCAGAGGATGAAGGATGCTTGGGGCATGCACCGTTATTCTCATTTTACAGGTGATTAGAATGAGATTCAGAAAGGATTAATTTGTTGGATGACTGGATTTTCTAAAACATACAGCAATCACTTATATGTTTTTCCCCTTATATATTCTATTTGGTGGTCAGAGCTATAAACATGTCTAGATACATATATTCCTATACAAACACATGTGGAAATGGCCTCCAAGTGTCATTTATGGAATTATAATAATATCTAGTATTTATATAGTAGTTTAAAGTTTGCAAAACATTTTTACAAATATTATCTCGTTTGATCCTCACAACAACCCTGGGAGGGAGGTACTATTATTATCCTCATTTTATAGGTGAAAAAACTGAGGCAAACAGAAGTTGTCACATAGCTAGTAAATGTCCAAGGCAGCATTGCAGCTTTATGACTTCAAGTCCCACCTTCCATCCTCTGTGACACCTGGCTACCCCTACAAATAGTAGTGAGTACTACAAATAGTAGTCAAGATTATAATGAAAAGAAAGGACAACTAGATTTTAACCCAACCCCTAAGAATGATATGTGGCAATGTCTGACATATAATGTGGTATCTTGTAATGAAGGAAAAGGTAGATTTTCTTTTTTTAAAATTTATTTAGTGTTTTATTTTTCCCCAGTTTCATGTAAAAATAATTTAAACATTTGTTTTTAAAACTTTGAGTTCCAAATTCTCTCCCTTCCTCACTCCCTACCCCC